AGGCGACCTGCTCCCCATGCTGTGGTTGCTGGCGTTTGTGGGTACAGGTGGCTGCACTGTAGCAGGGGACACCACAGAGGGGAGAGCAGAAGGACATGAGGGTAAATGAGGGGTCATGAGTGGGATGGGGTTAGGGAGGACAGGGTCGGGAGTCAAGAGACCTGGGTCTCTATCCTGGCCTCACTGCTCACTCCCCGTGTGGCCTTGGGCAGGTCACTCTCCTCCTTGGGCCTCAGTTTCCCCATCTGTAGACCAATGGGTCGGACTGACCAACTCAGCAGCCCCTTCCAGCCCAGATCCTCCATGGAATCCATGACCAACTGGATGTACCTCCTCCTCTCCCTCATCCCCATCTGGGGCTCCTCTCCCCTGGCTCCTGGTGTCACTTCCCTTTCCCAGGTACCCCTAGGACCCAGGGCTCTCCCTGCTACCCACCTGGGAGGACCTGGTTGGCTGGGACATGGAGGGGGGCTGTGCAGTCTGAGCCTGTCCCTGGTGACTGTCACCCTGCAGAGCATTTCCCGGGGTTTGCTGTCTGGGAAGTGACTCAGGCCCAGCCCAGCCTCTGGAGGGGAGCTTGGCTCAGAGGGGGAGGAGCAGAAGCTGCTGTCCAGGAGTGGCAGAGGCAGGATCCAGGGCACTGGGGAGAATGGTGAGATGGGGGACAGATCCCCTCAGGGGTACCTGGGATCAGGTCACTTGTTGGTGGAACACGGAGTCATCCCTGGTGGCAGCAGCAGTTGTTGAGGCTCATGTTTCCTTTCCATCCCTTGCGCTGTGCTTCTTCCTGGGTGACCTCCTATTTAAAAAGAGGTCCACTGTCATTCCGTATGGAGGAGGGGAGCCTACGAACATCTTGACGACCTGTGGGATCATTGAGTCCACCGTATCCAGCTCCTTGGAAAAAGGGCTAACCAGGTTCCCACTGAGGCTCCACTCAAATAAGTTCATGGGTGACCACAGGACATTGTACGTTAGATCCAGGTGTAGATCATAGGAAGCAACATCATCATGGAGTAGTGACCTTGTGAAACGCCCAGGGCTCCCTGGGCTCCTGGGTCCTATCGACAACGGGTTTGTCTGAGCCTTGTCTGCCTCCATTGGTTTCCCAATCCCTACCTTCTTGGCCTCAGATTTCTGCAGCTCAGCCATGCTGCTGTGGTGCTTGGTGACATCCTCCCTGTAGGAGGAGGAGCTGCTCACTGTCTCTGCAGCTGCCTGTCCACGGCATCCATCATCAGCATGCTATTTTCTATCTGTTAGGCCTATTTTTCTTTGACTACTGATGCCTGTCATCCCATCATCCTCTGAGGCTCGTTTCTGCTCCGTGCTGGTGTATGTGCACAGGAACTCGGCAGAGTCCCCGTCCCAGGCCAACAGCTCCTGGTAGGAGCCCTCTTGGAGCTTTACGTGCACTCTCCATTCCCAGCCTGCAAAGATATCTCCTAATACCAAGTGAAATTGCCAATCATTGAAAGGGTTGGACCCCTACATGTTGGGCTCTTTGGGCAGCAAGTTGCCTTTCTGTTCCTGGACCACCCCGAGCATATAAACAGTTTGTTGCAAACAGGTTCCTCCCAAATGAGGTCCCGCCAAATCCATTAAGGCAAGCACACACACTCCATTGCAAACAGGATCTTCCCAAATGAGGTTCCCCAGATCCATTAAGGCATTCACGTAGGTGCCTCATAAGAGGCCAAACCAAAACTCCGGGTAGGAGAATGAGTCCATGAGAATTCTGTCTCCACTTAGCTGTGCCATCCCAAATGGCAGAGTCCCATCCCTTAGCTTCAAAGGGAATCTAAATCTAGCCGAGGCATCAAGGCCTGGAGAACAGATCACCTCCAGTGACCTTCTTAGCAGCTCTGCCAGTGGCCTGAATTCCTTTTGCCATGCTGGCCACCTGCCTGGGCTCAGCCACAGCCAGTGTCAAGGTCATTATTTCAGTGGCACACTTAATATTCTTATCTCTTGCTGTCAGGAGACGCCTTTTCTTTCAAATGGCACTATGAGAATGTACAATCATAAAAGCATCTTCAGAGTCTGTATAAATGTTTACCTTTTTCCTCTTGATAACTGCAACTCAGCTTCCCAGGCTGAAGTCCCAGGTGGCAATGCCACTGCTGAGCTCACCACACATCCAGTCCCTCATTGTCCATAAAGCTGTTCCATCAGTGAAAAAGATCCCAATCTTGTTCTGGCATAGGCTCATCTCACAAATCCATCCTGCTAGAATACAGTCTCCAGAACCTCTAAACAGTCATGTTGTAAAGTCAAAAGGGCGGCAGGATTGAGAATAGACACAGTCTTTAGTAACAATTTATCGAGGAGGTCATTTTCTCACAATATTTTCAGAGGATTTGAGAAGCACGCCCCTGGCCTGAGATGTTTCCCAGCATTTACACTAAGAGTCTAAGGCTCATTCCTTGTTTTTCTCCATACGAGGGTTTCATCATCAATCCAGAGTCTGGGATCCAGACACCAATCCTAGGAACCTCAGACAGGCTAATATAAGTTTATAAATCTGTCCAGTTGCGGGCTGTGCAAATCCCCTGTTAAGCTTTCATCAAATAGGGCAGAAAAGCCCCTTTGAAAACTCCTAACACACTGCAAGAGCACTGTGAAGCCGCCCCAGTCCCAGGATCCTGCCATTTAAATGCTTCTGAGTACCACTCAAGTTCCTCGGCTGCAGCTTGCTTAAAGCTGCCTCTCTGCCGCCTGTCCCCTCCCCCCAGGCTCTCTGCTTGGCTTGCTGAGTGCCAGGCCCCACTCTTGCTAAGGACAGAGCTGCAGCTGGGGGAAGGGGGCCCCCCACTGGACCACTTCTGTCCACACAGGTTGGCAGCAAATGAATCCTCACTGTCAATTTTTCCCAGGACTATTGTGGGGATATTTGGAGGCAAGGGGCTTCAGCCCCCTCCTTTGCCACTTGAGTACTGGACTTAAAGAAAAATTCTTCTGTCCTGGAGGCTTCTTACTATCTGAAGGCTTTTGTACCTTTTGGGCAATGTTCTATCTAATGTCCTTCCTTTTTACAAAAGGCTAACTAACTGCCATGGCAGTTGCTGGAATTTTCCTGTATGCCCTCACCCCAAAAAGAAGCTGCATCTCCCAGTGAGGACCCACGGCTTGGACCAGGACTGCTCCCCTATTCCAGGATGCCATTTCACCATGACACTCATCAGGCCCACCCAGATACGCCAAAATCTGTTACCAAAAGCTCAGCACTTTTCCTCTAGGCCGCATCAGAAGAACGAGAACAAATAGTTTGAGGAAAAGGAAAGAGAAGTTTATTGCTTTGCCAGCAAAGAAGGAAAAATGATGAACCTTCTCGGCTCAAAATCAGAATCTGCTCAACATAAGCAGAAATCCAGAGCTTTTAAAGGGAGGGTCCTCAGATCTGGGCTACTGTGTTAATGACTGTAATTGTCCCATCTCTGCGAAAGACAAAGCCTGTGAACTGAGCCCACCTGGGCCGACCTACGCCCGCGTGGAATGGCTGAGCTATCTCCTGTAACAAAAGACTCACCCTGCTCCTCCCAACCACAGGCTTGGGTTAGGGATGCAGGTTTTAGTTCTCAAAAAGGAGTGGAGGATATTTTAAAGAGACAAACATATTTTTTCTGAGTTTTTTTCAGGCCATTCCCTCAGTTACAGAGCCACTATTGTGCTTTCTGTCTCTGTGAATTTGACTAGTCTAGGTTCCTCGTAGAAGCAGTATCATACAATATTTGTCCACGTATGTCTGGCTTATTTCACTCAGCATGATGTGTTCAAGGTTCATCCATGTTGTAACGTATCTTTACACTGCATTCATTTGTAAGACTGAATGGCACCTCATTGCGGGTTCACAGGACATTTTGTTTACCCGTATATTCATTGATGAACATCTGGGTGTCTCCACCTGTTGGCTCTTGTGAATAATACTGATATCAACATGGGTGTACAAATGTCTGTTTGGGTCCCTGCTTTGAATTCTTGTGAGTATGTTCCTAGAAGAGGAATAGCTGGATAGTGTGGTCATTCTATGTTTAACGTTTTGAAGAAAGATGTCCTGCTGTTTTACACAGAGACTGCACCATTGTACATTCACAGCAGCTATGCTCAAGAGTTCCAGCTTCCCTACATCCTCACCAACATTTGCATTTCATGGGGTATTTTTCCTTTGGATAATCGCCACCCTAACGAGTGTGATGTGGTATTCTTATTGAAGGTACAGAACCTCTGGAAGCTGCATCACAAGAACAACAATGAATGGTCTGAGGTCAAGGAAAGAGAAGTTTATTACTTTGCCAGCAAAGGGGAAAAATTATACACTCCTGTCGCAAAATCTAAAATTCCCCATACAGAAGTGGAAATACAGAGCTATTAAAGAGAGGCCATTCAGCTTTAGGCAATTGTTGTTTCACTACATTTGATGATTCTGATCAGTCCCATCCAGGGGGAAGACAATCTCTTGACATCTGCCCAGACCTCCGCCTGGAGAATTTCAGTTGAACCATGTCCTATAGCACAAGGAACAAAGGACACTCCTCTGCCTCTCCCAACAAGTGGCCAGAGGTAGGGATGCAGGTTTTAGTTTTCAAAAAGCAGTGGGGGATGTTTTAAAGAGGCAAAATAATTTCTGCCGTTTTTCTTTTCAGGCCATTGCCTCTGTTACATATTGTCCACTATCAATATTACCATTCCATGTATACAGGAGGAAGGGTGACTACTCTGTTATAGTATCCCATTGGGGCTTCGATTTGCACTTCTTGCAAAGCAGAGTGTCGTGGCCAGTGGCGGGATGGACAGAGCTCTAGCATTGGCCTAGTGATGATGGCAGGGGGTGGTCACCAAGGCAGGCTTTCTAAACCATGCAGTGGGGGCCTGAAAAGGACGTGGCCTCTGCCCCTTCCTGCAGCCACAATGGGGCTTCAGTGACACTCACACCATGAAGAGCCAGTGGACGTAGGGCTTGAAATGGGACACTGAGGGGAAGGGAAGAATCCCGAGGGGTTGCACTGAGGCAGGAGTGTCAGAGGCGAGTGGACGTGTTCCCTGAAGAAGAGCCAGCAAAGGAAGGCCTGCTGTCCTTGGGCAAGAGCTCCTTGCTGACCAGGCCACAGGTGGCCAGGATCTTGAGGAGTCCATGGCGAAACTTTTGGCCAATGAAGACGTAGATGACGGGGTTGAGGCAGCTGTGGAGGAAGCCCAGAATCTCGGTGGCTTCCAGGGCACTATCAATGTCGTTGCGGCGCTCACAGGTCTCTGAGATCACCTGCGTCCTCATGAGGGTGTCTGCGAGCAGGACCAGGTGGTAGGGCAGCCAGCAGAGCAGAAAGATAAGGACAACAGCAAAGATGACCCGCATGGCCCGGTGCTTCTGCCCCATGTGGGCCTTAAGCAGCGTGCGCAGGGTGAATCCGTAGCAGAACAGCATGACTAGCAGGGGTAAGATAAAACCAAAGGTCTGGGGCAGGATTCGAAGCACCATCCGCCACGTGGCTGTACTGTTGCCCATGTCCTCATAGCAGACTGGACTGGAGGC